ACTGAGCAATCAAGGTGGAGAGAGCACTCGCCAGAAGAGACAATGGGAAGGGCCCAGGGAAGACTTAGGGAGTCAAGAACTTAACCTGGCCTTCATCCTGCCAACAGCAGGAAACAGAGAGGAGCCTGACCATGTCTGCAGAGAACCCACCAAGGGGCTCTGGGGAGAACTTCCGTGGGGCAGTGTCAGTTGAGCAGGAAGCTGAGCGCACTCTTGGAAGCTGACTGACCCCCACAGCTGGCCCCTCTCCTCAGATGCTGCCGTCAGCACTGACCCTAGACAAGACACACTCTGAGGACAAGAGGGAGAACAAGTGTGTAGGCTTGGTACTTGTGCTCTCCTCTACAAAACAAGCATGTGTCGTTTTAATTAAAATGTGTCATTTATAATTAAAGCATCATTAAGCAACGCTTCCACCCCTGCAAAGAGCTGTTCCAGGGAAACTACCTTGTCGCATCATTCCTCACAGAATGAAAGAGGGAAGCTCTGGGACTATCAGAAAAACTATACTCAAGTCATGTTTTATTTCTATTCCCACTTCCTCAGTTCCTTCACAACTATATTACTTGTATACCAAATCGTTTTAAAGATTTATTTAGTTACGCACACATCAGTGGGTACAGGCCAGAGGTGCAGGGGCAGTGAGAGGACTGGCAGGTAACAGTTTCAGCAAGAAAGTAAAAGCATATCCATCCTTCTGACAAAGTCAACTTTGTTTCCATACAAAGTTCCTCAGAAGAGAAACCTGCTTGTCTGGTGTATGGATTAGCAAGGCAGTAAAGCTCCACTCGCTGTAAACTGAGGCAGGCTCTGAGCTATTGATGGCAGATTCTTTCTGGGCACTACACACGCAGTCTCCATAGGCAACGTCTGCATGAGGGCTCCCAATTGTTTAATGAATTCTTTGGGAGGTTACTTTTTCAGTCTCCTCCGCCTCCACCTCTCAATTCTGAAGTCAGTTTGCACCTGCCGTCTGACGCCAAAAAGCACCCAATTCAAACACCTTTGCAAACACCAGCCTTCTCAAACATCCCTTTTCAAATATCCCAAGAGTCACTTAACTGAGTTCTAACTCCCCAGCCAGCAAATTCGCAAAGTGACTTTGGAAAAGTGGACTTTGGCGCAATGAAGCTGTAACACAGTATCAAACAGACTAAACACAAACTCTCTGAGGTAAAGAGTTGAGGAAGAAATGTATATCCAGGCAGAGGTCCAGAACCTGACACAGAACGGAACTTTTCTGTGCATTAAGCGGCACATTAACTGGACACACAATGGCTGGGGCATGCTGTGGGGCAGCACTTATACACCTGGGGAAAGAGGTGACCAGGCAGCAGCACTCAGTCCACACACTTGACCTTAACCACCACAACAAACTGGTTACTCCTAAGTTTATCAAGCTGTTCTGGAAACTTGTCCCCAGAAGCAACGACTACTCAGCAGATGAGCTATCGTACTGAAGCCCCCCAAGCCTGGCCAAAGTCCACTGTGGGGAGAGAGAAGAGGACAGAGAAGGAAAAAGTGGGGAACTTGAAAAGGAGGGACGAACCAGAGCAAAGACAAAGCCCAGGGCGACGACTAAGTGAAGGGCATTGTCCTGCAGCCCGTAAACTACTCTTTACAGCCCACACCTGGGTGCCGCCCCTCCCGCCCGCCTTAACCACCACCCAGGTGAGAGCAACTAGAGGAGAAAACGGCGGCCGAGAAAGCGCAGTGTCACGCCCAAGGTCAGGCGAAAAGCTGGGATGCCTTCCGGGCCCCACCCCGAGAGACCACGAAGGGGTGGCAGACACCTGGCAGGGCAGTCAAACGTGGGCGCAGAGGTGCCCCCGAGGGACGGAAGGTCGCCTGTGCGCGGCGAGGTGGAGGAGGGAGACAAGCGGTGGAGGGTGAGGCGGCCGTGGCCCGCGGGTGGCCGGGGTCCTGGCGTGGGCAGCCCTCCAGCCGCACTCACCCGTGGCCCGGGC